ATAATCAACGCTTGTGTTGTGACATTTTTACATGTTAGATTTTGACATTGGACATTTGAATGGGAAATTTTATCCAATAGGAAAGACATCCGCAAAAAAAATCGCTATTTCGCGTCTATGGAGACTATTCTTAAATAGTTATGCCAAAGGTTACCAATATACCTATTGGGCCGGTTTCTTTATCTCCTGATAAACTGTCAGATATGCAGTATGACCCATATAAAAACGAAATATCTCATTGGTTGGCCAGTTATCCGCCGAACAATAGAATTATAGAACGGTGCACCTATCTTGCAGATAGTTACCAAGGAGCTTATCTGAAGATGAACAAACCGGGCCTAAGCATGTTAACCAATATCTGTAATGTGAGTTATGTTATACAGAATGGATTTTTTTTACAATAATGTATTTATTTATAGGTAACCTGATGTAACATTAGGTATGCAGTGTTATTTTATTTGAATAAGTTTTATTTTTCCATACTATTGTTGTTATTGCATTTTTATTTTAAACCTAACGAAAAAAAAACTTAAAATAAATAATTGAAATCTAAAAATTTTAGCACAATTTTTCTTTAGCAACAAAGACCTAGTAATATTCTAGTATTGGCAGGATTGAGAAAAATCTAGTAATATTCTGGTATTGGCAGGATTGAGAAAAATCTAGTAATATTCTGGTATTCCAAGTTTTATAATCTGGTAAAATGGCCATTCATATAATTGGCAACACTGCATTTGCCAGTTTTGACAATCGGCAATTTTTAATTGACGTGTTTACATTTCTATCCAGCTTTTCCTCGAATTTTCCGCTCTTCCAAGCCGTTTTTAGTCAAGAAAACCGATTTGAAATAAGAGGCTTTGAATTTCCTATATTTTGTGCTAAAAATTCCCAGTTTTCCAATGGGGTAAGTGACAAAAACTCAAATTTCATTAAGTAGGCTTTGGTATGTCATTTTTAGAGGTTTTTCTTTGGATTTGTCCGCTTTTTCAGGGCTTTTCTGGTCGGAAAAGCCGATTTAAAGTACGAGACTTTGAGTTTTCTTCATTTTCCACCAAAAGGGTCCGGGGATCGTTTTCTATCACTTTTTTTCTCGAAATTCGCAAAATAAAAAAAAACTTTTTTGACGTTGACAGTTGTCAATTTTTTTTGACACAAATCGATAATTAGCGTCGCGAAACTGCCTTGTTCGCGATTTTCGTAGCTTTTATACTAGAGCGGGGAAAAAGTCGAACATGTGTCAAATTTGACAGGTGACATTTATCGATATTGCCAAAGTCTCGTGCGACAAAAGTTTTATCCGAACGAACCCGTTTCCGTTTATTATTAACTGATTTTTCAAACTCCGGCCCTTCAGGCCGTAATCTTTGAAACAAAAAGTCGTCATTTTGTATCGATTGTCAAAAAAACCCAAGGTTTGAAATTTCAATTTTTTGACGTTTGTTGTATCATGAGCAGTGTTGCCATATGTTTTTCTTTCAAATCTCGAGCTCGAAGGGCCGAAAATATAGATTATTTTAAAGCCAATCAAGAGCCGGGAATAAACAAAATTCGAATCCCCAAGCCAATCAGGAGCTGGGAAAATTAAATTTTTTGTACCAACTGTTGCTACATGTTGTTACATAAATCTCACCCTAAAACCTACTAAAAAGCGACCTTTGTTTTTTGGAAAAAATAAAAGAATTTTTTTTTTAGATTGACAGCTGTCAAAATTTTAATGGGCATATAGATTTAGCCTCGGCGAATACGTAGGAAGTACCAATTTTTTTTTTTTTTTACATATGTCAAAAAAGACGTTTGACGTTGCCAGGTGGTTGGTTTTTAACATATATCGATGAAACTTCTTAATTTAGGGTTTTCGGAGCCTGGGGATCGTTTTTTGACATTTGTTTTTTGAAAAAAAGCAAAGGTAAAAATTTTTGACATTGACAGTTGTCAAAATTAAAAAAAAAACCCACATGGGCATATAGATTTAGCCACGGCGAATACGTAAAAAGTAGTCAAACACGACGTTTGTTGTATTATGAGCAGTGTTGCCATATGTTTTTTTTTCGAATCTCGATTCTGGAAGGCTGAAGTTATCTCAATTATGAGCTCAAAGGGCCGAGGTTATACGAGTCCGAAGGGCCGGAATCATGCGAACCCGAAGGACCGGAGTTATACGAGCCCGATATTGTCAACTGATTTTAATACTTCGGCCGTAATCTTTGAAACAAAAAGACGCCATTTTATATCAACTGTCAAAAAAAACTAAGGCCTACTTTGATATTTCAATTTTTTGACGTTTGTTGTATGCAGCGTTGCCATATGTTTGTATCAAATCTCGATTTATAGGTTATTTTAAACCCAATCATTGACATTTCTGAAAAATATTTCCTTTAAAATTCTCAAATATCCTTTGGAATCTCCAAAAATCTATTAAAATCTCAGAATTCCATAATTTAGTGGAATTTCGGTAGAATAATTATGTTATTTTGGAAAAGGAATTAGATGTGAAATTTTTGCGGAGTTTCCATAGAATTCACATTAAATTTTAATTCCTCTCAAATTACTTGAAATTTCAGTGAAATTCCAATCGAATTACACGAAATCCTAAATGAATTACATCGAGGAATTTTAAACAATTACATGAAATTACACCTAAATTCCCAACATGAAATTTCAGTTTTTACTGAATTTAAGTAATGCCGAGGAATTTCCAGCTAAAAACATGGAATTTCGGTGATATTCCGAAAAATTACCATGTAATAACTGAAATTTCAATATATTTCGATGAATTTTTAAGAAATTACTTGAAACTTCATTAATATTCCCAGAAATTCTTGGCTATTAAAAGAGAATTTCAGTGAAATTCCGAATTATGAAAATAAATTAAATTTTGAAAATTCCTTGAAGTTTCATTGGACTTTCGAGTTATGAACGTGGATATTCTCATAAAATTTTAGTAAATTCCGAGAAATTTTTAAGAAATTACATGAAATGTCAATGAAATTCCAAAGAATTTTATGAAAATTTTGTGGAATTCCAGGATATTTCAGTGGTAAAATTTTGAGGAAGTTTATTAAAAAAAATATATGAAATTTTGAAATTGAAATCTTAGTGGAACTCCGAGGAATTTCATGAAATCCTATACTGTAATTAGCCTCCTCACTTGAAATAGTCACGAGCCGCCACTGTTAACAGCACAGTTAGGGCCAGTTTCAGAAACAATGGTAACCCAACGGTAAACACATGACACTGGTAACCTACAATATATCTGTTTCATAATGTGTGGTTTAGCCAAAACCTTTGGTCAAGCTTCAGAATATTCCATGTAGTCAACCCGCAAATATGAGTCCGATAGCCAGTGCAGGTTACCACCAATTGTGAAACTGGGCCTATATGGCATATTTTTGTATTTGTTGATCTATTTCTACAGTATTAAATGCAAATCGTTTCCAAGGAACAGCAGCTACTTCAAATAGTCTCTGGTGATCATTGTTACAATGTTTGTAGTTATTATTGATATTTTAGGTTATTATAGTTTTGTAGCAGTTGTTTTGGTTATTGGCTTTCTTTAGAGAGTAGTTTGTTTTAAAATATAATTTTTGAGACACCCTGTATAATAATTTTTGTCCTTAACTACATAAATACCTTTGTTTTTAATGTATAAGTTGCAAAATCACATAACAGATCAGTTAAACAACGGTTAAACATAAGTTTATGTTTAAAGAAAATATTTCATATAAAAACTTTGGACTCAATTTTCTGGGACATCCCATACTCGTACAAAGAAGTGACCATAAGCAGAAATGCTTGTTTTCAGGTATAGAATAACATACTGCAGTTTTAAAAAAATCGGCCGATCACCAGGATTCTAATATTTAGTGCCATGTCCTTTGACACCCGGTTAGTACCAACAATTTCCGTTGGCTATCTCAAGGGAAACGCTGTATCCGTACTTATCTGGCCTATAGAAAATTGATTCTCGTCCCTTTTAAATTGTCTTGTTAAACTGAACGATTGACTGAAAGTTCTGATCAAAAAAAAAAATATATCTAACCGGCCTTTGGGTTTGAATTACCACCCAAAAACGTGGTAAGCTCTTTTAAGTTTCATAAGTAATGGCTTTTCAAGGAATGCATTATCACTTAGGGTCTTTCGAACAGCCGATTTCCCCAACAAGTCCATTCCAAAAAAAAGGCCACATTTTCAAATCAACACCATTTCTGTGGAGCTTGACATTGAACCTTTGAAGGGCTTTCTACACTACTAGAATCAAGACCCCACACCACAGGTCAATACGTGTGCTGCACCTTTGACAACGATTATAGTTTCTTTTGTGCCTGAATTCTGGGCTGGAATCTACCAGTTCTTATGTGTGGCCCCTTTCGTCCAGATATCGAGAGACGAGAATGGACGTTTTCCAGCTCTGCCTTATGTTGGGATGGAAGCTTGTATAAGCTTCACTAATAACTCTTAACTTACCTCTTTTATTTCATAAAATCAGTTTTACAGTCGATTAACAAAGTTAAAGTTATGATAATTTTTTTATATATGACACATGATAGGTACAAATTTATTCTTGACACAATGGCGAAAGAAAATTGGTTTTTAATTTATTAATTTTACTATGTTAGCATAATTTCTGATACTGCCTTATATTTTATCAATAAGTGATCTGAATAAGGGTCAAGGTTGGACAACATGTTCTGAATTTGAATTCTTGGATAATAGCTTGCCGTCGAAAATTGATCAATTTTTAACCAGGGCTCTTATAACTTATATAGCGGAGGATTTCCTTCATGTCGACCATTTGACTTATAATCCAACCTTTGATTTGATATACTGAAAATTCCCTTAAATCTGTGTAAAAATATGATTGATATTCCTTTTTACAACGAAACCCATAGCAAAACTTTCATGTCAGACTTACATTTACTTAATTTACAATGTTGTATAATTTTTCTAAAATATATTTCACAAAATAATGAGTTCTCTCAGAATCAAATTGTTCTTTTCAGGCTACGCTGTGCCTCACGACTTAGAAAAATACCGCGTCAAAACTGCCACATCCACGCCGACAAAAGACGGCGATAAAGTTGATCCCAACTTTTCCACCATCAGCGAAGTGGAGCAACCGAGTATGTGCCAAAGAACCCGCATAGATGAAACAGTAGGTGCAAAATCGCCAATAAAAAAGAGACGAAAAGCTGAGGATTTAGTGGAATTGATTTCGATGAAAAAAGTTATGGGGGCTGGACATTTTTTAGATGGTTGTTCGATTTTTATGGTCGGTTTTAGTCCAACTAGGCGAGACAAGCTTAATAAAATCATAAATATGAGTGGGGCAACTCGTTACGATGATTTTTCTGATAGTGTTACACATGTAATTGTCGGAAACTCAATTGAATTGAGTAAAATAAAAGAAAACTTTGCAGGTGGATGTCATTTGGTTACACTCCAATGGCTTTTGGATTCAGTAGACGAGCAAAAACCTGCTCAAGAAAATAATTATCGTGTTTTGGATTTAGAAACAACTGATGGTAATTTGACTCAAGAAGTTGTTAATCTTTTTACGGAGGAAAAAACAACTGATGTTGAAAATGAAGATGCATTAACCCAAAAATATTTAAAAACAATCGAAAATGTAGAAGTGGAAGATACTTTAGCTAAAATGTTAGAAAATCAATCAGAAATTTTCAAAATGCACTCATTTCAGCCTCAAAATACTTCAACGCAAATTTCCCAAGCCACCACAGATTTATCGGAAAGTAGCATGCAAATAAATATTTTTGAAGGTTTGAAGTTTACTTTGCAAGACTTCGACAAAGAAAGTTATCAAGAAAACAAAAACCTTATTAAATCTGTTGGAGGAATTATCAGTAATAATAATTGTGATTATGCAATAGTTCCAATTATTTACAATTCAAAAGAGTTTTCAGCAACAAAAATTGTAAACGAACTATGGCTTCATGAAAATATCCAAACAGGCACTTTAATTAGTGATTTACAATATTATCACCAACCATTTACCGCACCTACAACAAGTTTTCTTTCTGGATGTGTAATTACACTAAGCGTTTATGCAAATTATGAAAGAGAATTCTTAAAATCCCTTATAGTAGGCTTTGGTGGAATATTCCAAGAACAATTTACCAGAAAAACCAACGAAGCCAAAAACCTCATTGCATCAACTCACCTAATAATCCCTGAAGCGAGTGGAAAAAAATACGAAGCGGCCTTAAAATGGAACTTACCTGTCATAACCAAAGACTGGCTATTAGCTTGCGTTAAAGCAAACAAAAAATTACCCTACAAAAATTACTCTCTTGATGATGATACTTTGACGTCAGAACATGAAAATCCCAAAACCCCAACTTCAAATTTCAAGCCTTCCAGTCAAGTTACTCCAATAAACAAAATACTACAAGATGCAATTAATTGTAAAGTATTGCCGACGCCGCCTAGTCCGAAACAATATTTTCCGTGGGATCCGAAAACGCCCGATACGCCGCTGGGTTGGTTTATCAGGCCGAATCCGTCGCCGGCATTAAGGAAAGAGATGCAGAAATATGTGAATTCGTTTCCGGATTTTGTGCCGCCCAAACGACGGGATAGTACGCCGCTGAGTGAGCTCAAGAAAAGGCTGCTGGATAAAGCTTCACGTGAGTAAACTAGTTTTAATTATTTTTTTTTAGTGTCACTTTATCAATTTACAGGCTTTATTGTAGAGGGCTTGAGGTGAAAACTAATAGAATTTCAAACAGATTGAGAAAATATTTCAAAGTTTGGAATTTTTTGGAAAAGCAAGGTTTTAATGTTTCATTTGCAAATTTCCAGCAGTTATTCTAATAAGCTTAAGGTAAAAAACCTGTGAAATTTTAAGCAGATTAAGATATTATTTCGAAAGTCAATATAATTGACAAAGTGTTTTTATTCGGGCTTAATGGCCGTCGTAAGTTGGAATTTCTTCTTGACGTTTCGCTAGCATCTTCAGAGGTGCTTCCATATCCGATTCTAGTAGCAGTTGGTGTCCAACATTTGTAGGCTCTTCCCTTCAAGGTATTCTAGCCTTTTGCAGACAGATCATATGTTCTCTAGTTTCTGTTACTAACGACTGTTCTAATGTCTCTTCTGTTTCCGTCAAAAAATTGTTCAGATCTCTTTGATAACCGGTCGCTAAATCCAATGTACCATTTTTGTTTTATCCCCCATGTTTTTCCCATGAGTTCGCGGCATATCCGAATGACCGCCGTAGTTGGTGATATTATTTTGTTCAGATAGTTGTACCAGCTTTATAGAGTAATCCAGCTTCCTTTTTTTCGTAAGTCCTTTTTCCTCGCCCCAGTTTTTGATTACATTCAAGGCATTTTGCATTCGACCTGTTATTAAGTCTTGCAAAGAATACTTAAATTGAAATTAGTTTATTGTAAAACCATTGTTGTGCAGACACTCCCTTTCCACAGAATCAGGTATGAGAGTTATATTAACCAATTGCCATGCTGATTTATAATCAATTATCTATTTTTTATATGCTTTAATGTGCTTACCCCTTTCCTCTAGGACTTTTTAAATACATTGTTGTAAAGTAAACATCAAATTGCTATGTCGGCATTAAATGTTTATTTAAGCCGATGCCGTCCCATAAGGAACGTTCATTTGTTTTCTGGCTTTAGCCTGTAGCAATTTGATCCGAATATTTTCTTTTGTCACCTCTGTATTTTAATCAATAAAATAAATGTTTTTTAAAATACAAGTTTCTGAATCGAAAATATAATTGGCGCAGTCGTTCGGATGCTCAGAGTGCTTAAGTTTCGGGAGTTGATACAGTCGTAATCCGTCGCGAAAATTTCAAAAGACTGAAGGAAGTTCGAAAAAGTGAATTCTTCGGAAAAATGAAATTTGGATTATCAGTGCTGCTATTAAACGTTCCAGATACTGTCCACTTCGAATTGGTTAACTGAGTAAAAGGAATAACAAGAAACAACGTGTGAAGAAAGACTACTGTTATTAGCTTTGCCTAGTAAGTACAACCTTTCTCTTTATACATTTTGTAATTGGTGTTCCATAGTTAAAATTTTTGGATTTTTGATCTTTTGTAATTTCTCATTTTTGATTTACTGAGAAGACTTAAATTCAGATTTTTGTTCTTTTGCAATTCCAAAACGGTTTGCTGAAAAGACTGAAATCAAAAAATAAAGAGTAATAAAGAATTTACAAACCCACAACAACAAACTCGACAACAAATAATTTTAAAGAAAAAGCAACGCATAAGACTGAATAATTAATTATAATTTTAATTTTAATAAAAGTTTCTAATTTTGAATTTTTTTAAATTTTCAAAATAATTTCTTTTAACAATTCAAAGAAATATATATGTCAGATTCTGAAGAAGAAATCGAGAATTTTTTGATTCAATTTAATTTAACTCATCTTTACAATCCTAATTCAAGAAGTAACAACCAAAATCAAAGATCAACCGTAACAATGAGTGAAAATTTAAAATCAATCGTTCAACTCATCAAACTTTTCAGTGGCGAAAGCCAATATTTAGAATATTTCATAAGAAACATCAATGAATTTTATCAAACTTACTATACTGGTGAAAATGCTCAAAAAGAGTATGTGGTTACCGCCATAAAATCAAAATTAATAAATGATGCAGGAAATTTTCTTATGGCACGTCCTGATTTACAAACATGGACCGATATAAGAGAAGCGTTGAGAATTAAATATGGTGATCAATATTCTAGACAGAATTTGGTACAAGAGCTTATGTATACCACAAAAACTAATAAAGAAACTATTATTGAGTATTTGGATAAACTAAAAGGTTTAGTTCAAAGAATTACATCTAAAATCATGTGCGACCCGAATTTAACGGTAGTTGCAAATGTCTTAATTGAACAAAACGAAATTATTGCTATTCAAAATCTAGTCACTAATTCGCCAACCGAATTAAGAACAATTTTAATGGTTCAAAATCCACAAACGTTGGATGCAGCTAACAAATTTTTGTTAAATTATCAACTAGCTGAAAACCACATGAAATTTAGTAGAGTAGTTCTACTAATCAAAATCAAAATCAAAATTTTTCAAATTTCAAAAATAAAAATACGCAATTTCGTTCACAACAAACCTATACTCAACAAAAACCTCAATATACACAAAAAAACATCGTATGTACCACAGAAACCACAGTTTCCATCCCAACCTAATAGTGACGCTTTAACCTTTCTTTGGCCCGTAGGTCAATTCTTTGGTATGGCCTTTCATGAAGTGATTGTTCTTTTTTATGGGGTTAAATAAAATTATAAGGGGTTTGAGGTTAAACTGAAGAATTTGTATTTATCCGACTAAAGGAAACACCACCGATAATTTTACATCACTCTATTGTCAACTTTACACTTGAAAATAGATAGTTGCAGTGAAAAAATAAGCAAAAACTAACTTAATTATTATATTTTAGGACTGTGAACATCCAGAATAAAAGTAATCGAATTTTTCTCGTTCACCCGGCAATGTCTCCCTCTCCGAGCTGGTACTCTCTCCGGCGTTAGGGGGCAGCACCTGACAGAGTCGGGCAGGTCTGGACTCGGTAGTTATTCAATTTCGTTACAGACTCCCTCTCTGCATCACTCAAACGTCCTCGGGAGTGATGCAAAAAGTTGTTGGTTGTAATTGCGCAGCATGGACATTTAGTAACCTTCTTTTTGCGGACGCTTCTTCCATTAACTGTAAGCTTTTCTTGGGTAGCATCATCTGGAACGTCGTCATCTGATTTCTCTGGTTCGGGCTCTTTTTCAGGTATGTCGTCATCTTGGGTAATGTTAAGGTCTGACTCATCTTGATTTTCTGAGTCAGGAAGCATTGGTTCATTTATATTTTCTCCAGTACGTTCTCTAGGTCCTCCTTGTCCTCTTAAGGGTCTTAACGAAGCTGGGTCATTCGGTTCATCTGAGCAATATCTTCTGATTGCAGAAGCATGATATTTTCCTAATGGAGTCTCAGGGTCATTAACGCTTGCTACTTGGTATGTAGTTGGACTACATTGTCTGAGTATAATATATGGTCCGTCACGCCTGGGTGCAAACTTGGAACTATACGAGGTTTTAGCTTGACTTAGAGCATGTACATTTATTAAGACTTTGTCTCCAACCTCAAACGTTTCGTCTTTTCTTCCTTTATCAACATAGTCTTTCATCTTATCTTGTTGATTTTCTTGAGTATCTCGGGCATCTTTCAGTACTTATGATAGGGATCGAAGATATGGAGTAATCTGTGGTATAAAGTTTTCATTCTCTATGACTCCTCTTAAATCTCTGTGTACATCATTTGGTGTCCGTAGCTCTCTACCAAAAGTGAGAAATGAAGGTGTGTTTCCAGTTCTTTGACATCGGGACGTGTTCATTGAAAATCTAATCATTGGCAACATTGTTTTCCAGTTGGTATGTTCTTCTTGAACAAGTATAGCTAACTGAGTCTTTGAGTCTCTATTCTTTCTCTCAACCGGGTTGGATTCTGGATGATAGACGGGTATCAATGACTGTTCAAATCCTAGACAGTGTGCCGTTTGTTGCATTACTGCACTTACAAATTGAGTCCCATTATCGCTTATTACTCTGCGTGGTACACCATAGCGAAGGATTACTTCATCTACCAATGTTTTAGTGCATGCTTCAGCAGTAGCAGTTTTGAGGTGGAAGAGCTCAATCCATCTACTGTCTACATCTTCAAGTATAAATATCCATCTATACCCGTCTGTGGTATCTGGTAACGGTCCAAATAAATCAATTGACAGAACTTCAAATCGTTGTGACTGAATTGGAGTTTGTAATAGACCAGAGGGCTTCATGTTCCCAGGTTTGAATCTTTGGCACTGTAAGCATCGGGAAACGTATTTAGTTACATCTCTTCGCATACCGGGCCAATAAAATCGTTTGAGTATTCGTTGCAAAGTCCTATCCACACCACCATGTCCAGATATCGGGGAATCGTGATATTCTTTCAATATATCCAAGACTTGGGCTTGTGGTATTACTTGTTGTGGTTCATCTTCGTCGATTTCAGGATCATATCGGTACAGTACTCCATTTGACATCATATAACCTCGTTCTGTCCAGCGTTTGTAATTTACATCATTGGGATTGGGTGTCTCGAAGCTGTCTATAATTTTCTTGACTTCTGGGTCTCTCATCTAAGCTTCTCGTTGTTTCCTTGAACCCTCATTCGGTAAATCAATGCTTACTATCCCAATTTCAGTTTCATCGATAGGGGGGCGTGACAAAGTGTCAGCTATAACATTAGATCGTCCTGGTATATATTCAATTTTGAGGTCATAGTTTTGAAGTGATAGGGCCCACCTAGCAAGTCTTCCACTAGGTGACTTCAAGGAGAGCAACCATTTTAGGGGCTGATGGTCGCTTTTGACAAGAACAGTTGCAGATTCTAAGTAACCTCGGAACTTTTCAACTGACCAAACTACAGCAAGTGCCTCTCTCTCTGTAGTTGCATAATTTCTCTCTGCAGCTGTGAGCAATCTGCTGGCATACTCAACTGGTCGTTCGTCAATTCCCTCCCCCTGGAGTAGAACTGCTCCTATTGCATATGCACTTGCATCCGTTCGTAAAATGTATGGCAAGGTAGGGTCTGCTTGTCTGAGGAT